GATCAGGGGATCAGGGAATATGTACAGTATTTGGATACATGTGAAGATTCAGTCCCTCAGGATACATTTAACAGCAAATTGAAGGATTTGAAGGTACAGAAGAAAGATTTGATTATATAGTATGTAGATTAACCTTTCATAAACATTGGCAAATTTGTTGAAGTTCATTTCAATAAATTTAATAGTGTACTGTATATGAATACTGTATATAGGTATTCGGTCTGCAATCATTATACAGTACTGGGCAGACAAAAATCTAGTCTAAACTCCCCCCACCCTCCCTTGAAACCATCAGCAGTTGAGCAAGGCTGTAGAACAACAATAAAAATGAAGTATGGAATGTAATGAAATGCACTTTTCTGGTTGTTCCTACTAGGAACTAGGACCAGAAATTGGCACATTTTACAAAGGAGGGGGAGCTTGGGGATTGGAGATCAATCCAAAACTGAGGAAAACAGCAGGAAAAATTAGTACAGAAAAATAAGCATTTGTTTGAAGAAAGTTAGGTTCTCGTGGGTAATGAGGCCAATGGACATTGCTGGAGAATAAACACCATGTCTGTGGTGCACCTGACTGCCATTAAGTGGCAACTGAGTTCACCTGGGCCTCCAGCCAGCCAGCCTTTTCACTTATGACATCCCCGAACCTAATCCCTCTACCTCATGGGCAAGTAGAGAGCAGGGCGGAAATGGGGAGCTACTAAGGCCAACCAGATAAAGGTATTTCAAAACATACAATGCTTGATTTCTGGAAGAGGCCCCTCAGTTGCCTCCTGAAGAAACCGGCAATTAAGTTTCAGCAGAGAAGGTAAAGGGACACCAACAGTGTGGTATATACACCAGTGTGTAACACAAGCACAGCAAGAGTGTGGGACACCCCATGCAGAGCTAAATGCCAACTTGAAGCTGGTGTACCCCACAAAACAAACCCAAAGTGCAGTCATGAGCTGTGGAGACAATATCAAGGAAAGAAACCAAAACAGCAAGGAAACAGGACAGACCTCAGGTTGGCCAAAGACAAAATCCCCCAAGGGAACACCAGGCAGAATGGGTAGAAAGTCTTGGCTTGGGGGACCAGAAACCCAAGGCTGAGAGCCCCGGGAATTGGAAATCAGACCACAGGACGAGAAGCCCAAGGCCTCAGTCAATAAAGAACAGAACACCATCATAGTGATGTTGACAGCTCAAGAAATGCAGGACACCAAGCCTAGAAGGCAGAGGGTGTGGCACCCACCAAGCAAAGTACACACAGCCAGACTAGTCCAGGTCAAGCAAACCATAAAGCCTTGAACCAGTGCCCAAAAAACTTTGAAGGTTAGGGCCAAGGAGCCAGCAGAAGCAGGGAAAACATGCGAATGTCTTACACTGCACTCATTGAAGCTACAGGAACTCCAAGCCCTTGGACCCACAGGCAAAGAGACACCACCACCAACACAACCAAACTAGCCAATGCCTGGGAGGCCAAGGCACATTAAACAGTGACATGCAGCAGGAGACACAGAGGAGGGAAGGCCCTGCAGAGAACACCCAAGATCAAGAACAAGGGGCCAGATTCACAAAACAGTTACGCAAGCACTTACGAACCTGTACATCTTTTAACAATCTTTGGCAGCTTTGTTTACAATTATTAAACAGTTAATGAGCTCCGAAGCACCAGGAGGCTGTTTATAACAATAACAACAATTGATTGGGAAGTTTTCATGCATGTAAACTATTTAATAAACGTAAACAAAGTCGTCAAAGATTGAGAAAAAATGTACACTTTCGTAAGTTCTTGCGTAACTGCTTCATGAATCTGGCCCAAGGACCTCTTTACCTCTAGCTAGGACAGCCTCACCTGGAAGGCAAAGGAAGCATAGACTTGGAGCCCAAGATAACCTAGAGCCATGAAGAGAGAACTATTGTGTATATTACTCAGGAAACACCTTACTGATATAGGCCTCAGTTTATACAGTATAATATATCTTATATTTATTATTTACTACTGTATTTATTTATTCATTTATTGGAAAGTGCAGTGGGTTTTAATGCTCAGTTTTATAAGAAAGTAGTATATTCTCACAAAGCCACTAAGATGCCTAGCATTTCAGTCAAGACTGAAAACCAGTAGAGTAGTTAAGGTATATACAGTATTGGAAATTTGCAGTTATTTGTAAGTTGAACAGTCAATCTTAAACAAAGTATCAAAACTGGCGACTAAAGTTCACCTTTAGAATTTACAGTACAGTACAGTATTTATAAACTATTGTATTATATAGCTGTTTCTCCGGCTCCGGAGGGGAGCCGGCAGCTGACCGGACAGAACACTGGATGCGTGATCCTGTGGTCTCGGGTTCGATCCCGGGCACCAGCGAGAAACAATGGGCAGAGTTTCTTTCACCCTGATGTCCCTGTTACCTAGCAGTAAATAGGTATTTGGGAGTTAGTCAGCTGTCACGGGCAGCTTCCTGGAGGTGGAGGCCTGGTCGAGGACTGGGCCGCAGGGACACTGAAGCCCCGAAATCATCTCAAGATAACCTCCATTTGTAGAATAAATTTGTACAGTATCTCTAATCTAATATAAATACATTATTCTTTTCAGAAACAGGAGCAACGCAACATTCCTGAGGGTGAGAGCTACACCCTTGAAAACTTGCAGCCCAATACAGTGTACAACATGTGGTTAGCTGCCAGATCTCAGAGGGGCGAGGGAGCAGCTACAGCACCCATATCTGTCCGCACAGATCAGCACAGTTCGTGGTTTTCTATTTTACAGTATCTATTTTTAATAAGTTTGATTGGCTGTTTTAGCTTTCTATTAGTGTCAAATATACTTACCTGTATGGTACTAAAATACTGCCTGTATTACTGCTTTCATAATACAGCAGCTTACCCAATATCAATGTGTGCAGAAAAGGAAAACTTGAGAAAATCAATTGAAGCAATGCAAAGGATTTGAACCCTCGACCTGGGTTTGAATCAGGTTGGGAATTTTTACCTCTGGAGCACGACATGTACTCTCATATATGTAATATTCTACACAATGCTCCAGCATTAAATACACAAGGAAATCTCGCCAAAGTTGTATGTCAATGAGAAAATCCTCCGCATTGCTCCAATTCATTTTCTGTATATATAATATACTGAACTGGAATTGTCTGTTCGAAGTTGGAAGCCAGATATATGGGGCTAGTGTTAGTAAAGTTTTTCCGGTAAATGGTGTTGGGTATGTGGCCAACATGAATGGAGTTGGGATAGGCATCAAAGACATTGACAAAAGCATCCCTTCATGTTGCCACCTTCCCCATCCTTCACCACCATCCATACCCTTCACTACTTTTTCGCTCCTTCACCACATTTCCTATCCTTCACCACATTTCGTATCCTTCATCACATCCCCAACCCTTCACCCCCTTCCCTACCCTTCACAACTTTCCCTTCTTCCCTGTAATTTTAGAAAAGAGGGGGGCCTTTTATTAAGCAAGGCTGGAAATTAGTGTTTTGTCATTTCATGCATATGGGAGGATGGGGCTCAACCCCCAAGGTGCCTATGACCATTCCTGGACAAAAGCCAATCACCCTGCAAAGTTTGGCGATGCTAGCCCCGAGTGTCTGGCATATAACCATGAACAAATAATCAAACATTCTGTTTTATAGCTATATATATATATGATTAAATCAATTGCATATGAGCTTAAGGATAGGAAATATTAATAAAGATTCTACAATAATCTTACAGCCCCAGGTGCTCCCCCTAGTGACATTCGGGCTGTTGCTGAGGACTCGGAGAGCATTAGAGTGGAATGGCAACCTCCACCCCTAGATAAGCAGCATGGTGATATCACGAACTACAAGCTTATGTTTGTCAACAATACAAGGCCAGACTCTGATGCTTCGGTCATCTCAATATCGGATCCCAATCAGCGCGAGTACCTCATCACTAACTTGAAAAAGTGGACTGAGTATCGAGTTTGGATGCTTGCAGGAACTGTTGTAGGGGATGGGGTCAAGTCTGATCCCCAGATGGTGCGCACTGATGAAGATGGTACGTATGTCCTGTCTTCACTTACATGTGGTATCACACTATACCATACCTTGGAGTAAATATTTATATTGAAGTTTACTTAAAAGTCATGGAAAACCTGTTCGAATGAACCTAGATATAGGAGATTTGCTGACCAGTTCTGTAGTATTATTTCTCTGCTTTACAAAGTATTCAAATAATCAGGACAGATAAGTAGGTTTAATTAATGATTGAATTTCTCTCTCTAGATTGAAAGTAATCCTTCTCATAATGTTGAAAATTTTTGTAACATTAGACAGTAAATAAACAGCAGATACATGCTCTAAATATTAAGTAACCTAATACTTTACCCTTCTTCACTGCATGAGCACCATGCACAGTCATAATGCACATAGTTAATAATAGATTTGAAATTGAGGCCATCAGTGCTTGAACAGGCTTAACTAGTCTCTGTAAAATACCTTTTAAGGCTTGCTGTAGTTTTGTGTGTAAAGTCCAGGGGGTAGTAGCAGCCGTAAGCAGGATATTCCCATAGGTCTAGAGTGGACTGTTAGCATTGATGGCCCACCTAACTTTTCAACTGTACACTGTCTTCTGTGCCCCATTTCTCCTCAGGACAACATCAAACATGAAAACTGTGTAAGGAAGGGCAAAATGGAATACTTGCTGGTACATTGTCAGGTTTCTGGGAGGAACTAGTTAGGGGGCTGGCACATTATGGCCTGAGTTCATTCTCGCAACTTAAGTGCTTGTGTAGTAATCAAGTCATACAACTGTGTTAACAAATATGAAGGACTGGTAAAGTTATTACAAAATTAATAAATGTACTCAGGTTGTGGAGGAATTCAGGCCAGACTAGTAGTGAAAGCAGATGAGCAACTCAACTTTAATGGTTCACTATCCTTCCTTTGAAGTGCTGATGGCAAGACATACTTCATTGGAACGACATGCCAGATTTAGTAGAAGTTGAATGCTGACATACAGTATACTCTTCATCAACATACTCAAACTGCAAGATTTGACATAAAAAGCATCTCAAGCATCAACAAGAAATTAGTGGTTGACAGAAACTATTAATTTGTATCAATCATCTCTTCAATACAAATTGATTAGGGACAACAGTATGTACACAGAATTGGGTCTTAAGTCATAGTAAAAGTGAATTTGACCCAGTATTGCCTGTAGATAAGTGGCAAGTAATCTTAACAAATGCATATACATTGATATCTTGACAACCGCACAGAGTCGTTTGTGTGCACCTGTAGTGATCTGCACGTGAAGCGCAAACGACGCACGAGACACTTACAGATTTGATATTCCACACCACATTTATGGATGGCCCAGAGAGTCCTGAACACAATCCTGGCATTCTTATCACCATCTTTTGGTGTACTCAGGCATATTTTATTCGTCTGCATTGTGCATACAGTAACTATGAATTTTAACATGTGCATTTTTTTCTGCTGCTTACTGTATGTACAGGTGATGCATGCTGTTGTCATGTTTATTTAAAAAAAGCTAATTTTAACTGCTGACTGAAAATTCTTGAGAAAATAGGAGTATTATTTGTAATTAAGATGTCACACTTTTCAAATGTACTTGCGAGTTTTTGCAAAAAATACTAAATATATTTTATATTTACTGAACTAAGAATGCCAGAATTTTAATACTAAACCAGACTCCAAAAATCACAGTAGAAGTTGATCACAGCTCCAACATCAAAACTATCTGTACAGCCTTTCATGAACCTATGTCAAACTAACACACTTGTTTCCCTGCCCCTTACAAGGATACATTAGTAAGTACAGTTCCTGCCTACATGAGGACAGCCTTGCTCCACCCTACATCTTGGATGGTCCCCCTTTTACAACATTGTAGAAAATTTTCATCACAAGTACAGTCACATTTCTCTCCCAGATCAGACCTGTAACAGATTGATCCTAACAAGATTAGCCCACTGAACCACTAATCAGGTCATGTATAAAAACTGTTTTGCTCCCCAGAATTGCCCCTTCTTGAACATGGATAAACAGTTCCTTGACCCCTCCTCCTTGCTATTCACCGTAAACACCGCTGGCTCACAAACCCAAAACATAATACCGTACCTTCTGTTCCTCTGTGCTGTTCTGCCTCTCAGAGAGAAATTCCTTTTGTTTTCAGTGTTTTATGCTTAGTAAATGTACACCTCATTTTTGTAAAGATACCTTCAGATAAAAACTGATTTCTTGAGCACTAACAAAAACTAATGATTCTATATACATACATACAGTACAATATTAACACTTATGACTACAAATTCTACATATACAGTATATTGGTCAGATTGTATGTAGCATAAAGTACATCTTACTAAGCAGCTCAGAACCCAAATTCAGCCAAAACTCTGCCATACATGTGTCCACCCTACAGCACTAAACACCTGTAGCCTGTCATTACATTAAAGGAAAATGGCTTTAAGCCTAAAGCTCTTGTAATGCAATATGAAATTTAGTGTTCTTCAGCAGCTGCAGAAGAATGTTGTCCTCAGGAACTGCTGTAGGGTGAATTTCCTTTCATAGCTGATGTTGGAGGATGACTTAAAACAAAGAATTAGGTTCTGTTTATTACATCACCTGTTGCAAGATGGGTGCTTTAAACAGCTTTTCTGTAGTTGCTACCAATAGTTGCTATTGGATAATTCCCTTAGCATTTGTCCATGGATGAGATTCTTTACTAGCTGCATAAGGGTGTTTCTAAAATAACTGCTGTAGGGTGGTTGAGTCCCGAACCATTGTGCGTGTGAACGCTGAGCACCGTGTAGTGGGTCCGTAGTATGTTTTGTTTTGATTTACGGTATTTCTCCTAGCCTTTTGGTTGCTTTGTTTCTGTTTTGGTTGCCAAGGCTTTACACTCACTGTCACATGCACCAAGCACCACACTTTTCACTCCTGCTCTTTATTGCTGTCTCTCACGTCTATTTATATTTTCTCTTTCCATCATCTGTTAGCTCAGTCTTGACTCATGCATGGTCTCCTATCCTCTTCACACTTAGTAGCCAAATATGTTGGTGTTAACAGACTAAGGTGGGGGTGTCGGCAGGCTATTGATGGCATTGTTTCCATTTTTTTCCTCTCTTGCCTTCCATGACAGCTGCTCCGGGGCGTAAGTAAACCAGGGTTTGTAATGCTATGTAGATGTGGTGCTAGTAAGTGGTGTTGAGTCTGTTCCTACTTTTCATGCAGTTCCTTTTGTTTTCTTATACTAGTTTTATGACTTTTTCTTAGCCCATGCTTCTGGAAATGTTTTTTTTTTTTTCATGCACTGTTTATAATGTGTAACGAATATTAAATTGTCATGTATAATTATTTCACTCAAATTCATTATAAAATGTTTTGTAAATATATTCTCCTTTCTTCATTTCTGTGATAAAGTGACAATGAAGAATAACAAATATTAATAATGAAGAAAAGCTTAAATACAGTACCGTTCAGAATACTGTATATATATATATTCATAGTACATACTCGATCATCTTTTGACAGAGCAAACACAACTTCCAGTTGATGTCCACAGCTGTCTTTGTTTTACGATCTGTAATTTTACAATAAATATACATGACAAAATATCTCACATAGTTGCATAGAGAAAGAGAGTGTGTGTGCAGTGTTTACATAACTGTGAGGCGTGATGAAATGTCTACTGTGTGACTGTCTGCACACCAGTCATCCCTGTACTCCTGCCCAACTAAGCTGTGATGTTCCTCTTTATCCTCACCTACCTTTTCTCATCCTCTGATTACGTGCAAGAAAGGGGCTATCTTTCCGCTCATTATAGTATCTCCTTTACTGTAGTCACGAAGTAAATAATCAGCATTCTATCCCCTATTCAACTTGAAATGTGCTGTTTGTTTTTTAGAGGTTATGTAAGTATTTGATGTGATTTTTCAAAGTACAGTTTCAGGTAATCCCCTTGGAAATCCAGGTAATATACTTATTGGATCCCCCACCCTAAATATTTTAAAATCCTAGTGAAGGGTATTTGCTAAGGTATCCCAGTAGAGTATTTGCTAAGGTATCCCAGTAGAGTATTTTTCTGAGGTATCCCAGAATTTGCTATGGTATCCCAAAGTTTTTTCCATCCTTGGAGCATTTACCAGGAGCAGAAGGGATGCAAGTGTCTTTGTAGAACTAGAAAATTGACTAATATCAGTCTCGGGGTCTTTACTGGGTGTGGTGTGTCAAATAAAGTGGTAAGACGCAAGACATGTTTTAAAACAGTGACGGAAGATGAAGGGTGTATGATGCCCATTTCTTCTCAGGAGCAGCAAGTCAAAAGCAAGAAATAATGATGCTAAGGATATTTTTTTGTTTTGTTTTCTCCATCTCTGTATTCCATAGAGAAAAGAATAAGGCCAAAATGTTCTTGCATACACGGACAGTATGTTACCCACTTTAGAAAACACTATCAAATCTAAATGGATTCATCAAGTGGCAGAGTTAATGACAAACATTGCTTTTGGGGGACTTTTTTTTTTCTTGTGTCGTAGAACACAGGGGTCATTTTGTATCATTTCAGTAACTTGCATTTAAAAGTCGTTTGAAATGCATATTTTTATTAGACATCACTAATACAAGTGGATAAGTTTGTGTTAATGTCTGATAGCTGCAGAGTCAATATTTTGGAAAGAATCAATGTGGGAATATAAAATTGCTTCAATATCTGAAAAAGTTCAGTACAGTATTAGATTAAGTCATTTGGTTGTAAATGGTAATTTTTAGTCCTTTAGTTAGATTCTCTTTCAGTTGTCATCTTGAAGTAGATAATACATCTGCTGGGTGTATGGTATGTATTTTTCTTCAATATTTAATTAGAATGTGCCTTCTCTGAAGGTAGTAGGCTGTGTAATGTTCTTTCATGTTCTTTTATATACTCAAGACTTTTTTATGAAAAATGACTGTGAAATGAAAAGAACTTTTCTGATGCTGAATCATCATTTAAGTTTACTTGAGCAAAGTTTAATCCTCATTATTACCTTTTTTTTAGTTCCTGGTGAACCCCGTAACGTCAAAGTGGATGTAATCAATAGCACAAGCATCGAGGTGACCTGGACGCCTCCAAATGAAAGAGAGAGGCATGGAATCATTCGAGGATACCAGATCCATATACAAGAGATAGAAGGACGGGTAAGGATGTGTCTTCGATTATACCATATTGTACTTGTAAAATTATTATTATTATTTTTTACATAAATTCTTGTTGGTGAGGATAAGAAATCTGTAATTTAGGTTTAATGATGTGGTCTCCCCCTAGGTCAACTACTGACCTCATAAGGCAGAAGGAAAGAAGCAGGTGGAGGGTCAAATAATGATGTGTAAGATAATAATAATAATAATAATAATAATAATAATAATAATAATATTTTATTCAGGAAAAGTACATACACAGATGCAGAGTTACAAACATAATGTAGGATTAATAGATAGAGCTATTCAACTCTGAATAGCTCTGGCCCCAGACATCACTCGGTACCCCTACTCAAATCTCTGGATATGTTAGACATTAAGTCACTGCACATTCTCTCATGTGTATTATACACATATAAAACGCTGAACTGTAATGCCAATCCTGACCTCAAAAGCTTCATAGAAGGTTGTAACAGAACCCATGAGCACCACACCAGAAATAAATACAGTTTTGATATTCCTAGAGTACGACTTAATCAAACTAGAAATGCTCTACAAATCAAGGAACCCAGATTGTGGAATGACCTTCCCAACCATGTTAAAGACTGTACCTCTCTCAACCAGTTTAAGATAAAAACGAAGCTATACCTTATAAATTCCCTGTAACCTACCTTACCCCTCTATTGTCAACCAATGTCTGTTTTTTTTTAAAGAGCGCTGTTTGTCGACAGAATTGTATTTGTGCTGCTTTTTCAGCTATGTTTTCATTTCATGTTTTCATTTTACTCTTTATGCTCAATTAGTATTAAGCTTTAGTCATTTAAGTTTTTCATGCCCGAAACGCTTTGCGTAATAGTGGCTTTAGGCATTGTATGTACTAGCTCTATCTATAAGTCCACCAATTTTTGTAAAAATTTCTTGTATGTATGTACCTTACCTAAATAAACATTTATTTATTTATTTATATTATAGCTAGTACATACAATACCTAAAGCCACTAATATGCATAGCGTTTCAGGCAAAAAAGGGAAGCACTTCATGTGGAAAGGAAGGAGTAAGTAAATGACTGACCTTGTAGTCTCGACTTAGTTTCTCCTACCCTGTTATGGTGGTGGTGCTGCTGCCATTTAGGAGTAATTGTAGTGAGTACAATATAAAATAAAAAAATAAAATGTTTATTCAGGTAAGGTACATACATACAAGAGATTTTACATAAATTGATCGATTTATAGATGGAGCTAGTACATACAATGCCTAAAGCCACTATTACGCAAAGCGTTTCGGCGTAATTAGTGAACTGTAATTAGCTTTAGAACTGTAGATTAGATTTTAGAACTGTAATTAGAATTAGAACTGTAATTAGTTTTAACGCAACAGTAAAATGTGTACTTGGATGAAAAACCGATTCTTCGCGGCAGGGGATCGTATTCCAGGGACCTGCCCGAAACGCTACGCGTACTAGTGGCTGTACAAGAATGTAACAACTCTTGTATATATCTCAAAAAAAAAAAAAAAAAAAAATGGTAGTTAGCAGAAGGGGGTATAACTAGCTGGTCTTGTGATTCCATTTATCTCTTAAAAACTCAAAAGTGGCTTTGGTTTACTTTTATTGTGTTCTTTGGTGTCAAAGAGAGCAATTTCCTTGGTGATGGATTTATCTTTATCTCACTTTCCCAGCTAGGTGATAGGAGCACTATGTTCTTTGTTAGCATGGGACACTGATAACCCCTTGATCTGGAGAGCTACTAAGGGGCTGCTCAGAATGGAGCGTTTCATAATATTCGTTGCCCTGTTGTTGTTTTTTGTGTGTGTATGTATCCATAACTTTTAAATAATTCATAATAATTTGCTGCAACATATGTTGGCACTAAACAATACTTCAGGCTACAATTAGAGACAAAATATGGCTTGCCGGCAGCTGTATTCTGTGAACACATTTATTTACTTTTGTGTGCCTTTCCCTTTCTTGTATTTTTCATCCGTCATTTTTTCCAGTGTATGTTTGTTTGGCAGTCTCAGATATTTGTGCACATTCTTCTTTCTTATTATGAGCAAGCTGTAACAACCTTGTGGGGTTCCAAAGATCTCTCCCTGTGACCCAGTTTTTGGTCTCTGCTCAGCCTTCCTGGTTGATGATTTAATTAGTAAGGCTATTTTCTCAGTACATATAAGCAAGTTGTGGCTGCATTTTTCTCAGTATAAGCAAGCTGTGAGTTTCTTAGTTTCTCAGTACGAGCACACTTTAGCTGCTTTTCTTTTTATACATGCAAGCTGTTGCTGCTTTGTTTCTCGGTACTGTGTCAGTGGCTTTTTTCCAGTTATAAGTGTTGCTTGTAACTCACTAACATGAATTATTTTGTTTCTAACACCATTTTACTTGTTGTTTGTAGGCTAGGAGCTCACTCATCCACAGCTCAACTTCAGCCTCATCCTACTAGTTTCCCGCAGAATACGGTACACTAATCACTTTATAACCAGGTCACCAATTACTGTACTGCTGGGAGAACAAGGGCAAACACTTTTAAGAATTGGTGCAGAAATTGCCGTTCCCACTTTAGGCTCGAACTCTGGATGTTTTTGTGTGTGAAATGAATTAGTTGTGGGCACTGTGTCACTACGTCACTGAAACAAGAGGTTGTGTTGGGAGCAGGTAGCACATAATATGAATATAGTAACCAAAAGGGTATTGATTTCTTTGGTAGAAGCAATATTTATACAAAATTTGTTGATGTGCTGCTGAAGTAAGCGTAGTAAACTTCGTGTATTTTTATTTTTCAGGGGGAAGGACATGTAGTTGCTAGCTTGAATCCATACACTGTTCATAATGGGGAGGCAACCAGCTTCATCGTCACAAACCTGCAGCCAGACACTGAATACCAGGTGCAGGTGTCGGCCATTACCAGGAAAGGTGATGGCGTGAGGTCAGCACCAGAGAGAGTGCAGATGCCTGGGGGTGTGCCAGACAAGCCAGCTCTCATTGTCAAGTAAGTTCTAATGAAGTTCATACTTGCTCTCTCATAATTTGGAAATAATATCGTGGTTAAATGTATTTCTTGGTATTGACTGAGTGAATGAAGTGCGGGAGCTTTCTATGTTTGCAGCCCCTTTAGACTTCAGACTTTGTTGCAGTATGATAAGAGTAAATCATTGATTTTAAGGCCTTAATAGCTGCCTTATTGATTTAAATTATTATAGATATTTATAATGATTCATTATGTTATGAAAAAAAAATATAGAATTCAATTATTTACTTTTAAATCTTAAAAAACTGTGGATACTACTTTACTGTTTGTGCAAATAATAATGTATGTTTTTTGCTCTTAGGCTTAATAACCATGGAATGATTTATAATCAAATTAATAATTGCACTATAATTATTTTGTTAATCAAATTCAAGTGGCACGGTTGACAAAGAGACTGGAAAACTCTCTGTTTATGTGGAGTGGGTGGCTCCAACTGAAACCTACGGAGAAATTATGGGATATCGTCTTAGATATGGACCTAGAGGTGAGTCTTATGCAAATTCTACATGTATTAGTCACTAAGGTTTTTTTTATGTAAAAGCTGTTTTATGCCCCTACAAGAGCTTGTTATACCCTCCATTTTGGTGATTTGGTTATCGCCAAATATTTTAAAAATTTATTAGATAACATATTTTGTCAACAAATGTTGTTCTACCATATTGTTGTATTCTGACAATAATCTATGTACTGTATTTTATTTTTAAAATGTTATATTTAAGTTATGAAATAATTTTATTGATGCCCATAATTTGTTATATGCATCTGGAGATGGTGACTTTTGTAATCTAGATAAAAGTGACTGAATATGCCAAAATGACTTAATGTGCTTGCACTCTTGGGGCTCCTCTGTGTGATATATGTATTTCTTGCATGACATTTATGGGTTCTTTTTGCATAACCATACGAGGAATTTCAAGTCTGTGTATTGCAATAAGGTAAATTTAAAGAACTCAAAATAATGTATTGTGTGTGTGTGTGTGTGTGTATAAGTTTTGCTCGAAAAGAATATCTAAATTGAAGTCCCACAAAGTTTGAAGTACAGTAGTATGTTGTGATTAGACCCCAAGCACATATAACATATGTGTGAGTAATTATTTTATTTTTTTAGTATATACACTATGTAATAAAACTTTCATTAATATTATTTCCTGACATGTATCCGTAACATAATGATTGATGTTTGCAGGAGAAGAACTGGAGACCATAACATTGGAGGGCCATTCAATGCTGCATAAAACTTTAAATGACTTGCAACGAGGTATCGAGTACGAAATAAGAGTGGCTGGTCGTAACCATATAAATTATGGACAAGAGGCTGCAAAGTATTACATTACACCAGAAGCTGCTCCTTCTGGTCCTCCCACAAATATAACTTACAGGTTTGCAGATTTATTTTGTGTAGTCAGTAGTAATATTTTCAATTGCTTACAGCTGTTGAAATCTTGAAATGATATGGTCTTGCTTGGAATTAAAATGCCCTTACTTATCCTTATATGTAAGTAGTTTCTCAGTGTCAGATACTAGAGGTCTAAAACACTTATGGAGGTACCCCTAAAGCCAACGACTGGCTATTTCCAAGAGGCAACCCACATCAGTCAACTAACTCTCAAATGCCCAGTTATTGCTAGGTATCAGATGTAAGAAAACTTTCTCAGATGTCTTGCCCTGGCTTGGGATGCACCCATAAATGCTCATTTGAGCAGATGACAATACAGATCAGCAAATGATGTCACTAGAATTTACTGTTCAGTTAAAGAACATTAAAAATTGCCCAGAAATTCTAAAATCGTGTACTGAATATCATAATACAGTACTGTATTTTATAAAAAGATTTAACTTAACTCATTTAACATAGATGAAGAGTCAAGTCCAATAAAACTAGAATATTTGAAAATATTTTAGTACAACAAGTGATTTTCAGAAAGCTTCTGTGCCTTATTTTTTAAGTTCACCTGAATTTACCTGAGGAGCCAATATATCTAGTGATCTCAATAAGGGACAATAAGCTAATAATTTGTGAAAGGTTCTCCCTGTTATTCCTGAGACATTTTTTCCAGCTGTATTCTTAGCTGGAGTGCTTTTTGGGTATATTCTGCTTCGGCAGGTAGGCAATTTCACCAGTTTATTACCCTAATGGTGAAAAAGCCTCTTTTGTTATATGTCCTTCATTGTGGCTTGTGGAACTTTCAGCTGTTGCCATTTATGAGTCACATTCAACCTTCAACTTGCTCAGAATACTAAGTTTTAGTACACACAAAAATCACAATAGCATGATATATCAAATGAACAAATCCACAAGGGCTGTAATGAGGGTTCGAACCTACGAGTGCTACTGTCCTCACAGATCCTGCAGCCTCTTCAAACTCTCATCACGGCTCTTGTGGATTTGTCCATTTGATGTATCACGCTGTTGTGATTTCTGTGTGTATTGAAGTAATGGCGAAGAGGTAGAACAGCTTGTTGACAGAGCCCAGGTGCATAGGGGAATTGTGTAAAACCCTGGTTTGTGTCTTGGAGAGGCTGCAGGATCTGTGTGAGGGCTGTAGCACTCCCGGTTGCAATTCTTTTGACCATGCCGTGGGGCAATCGCCCAAGACACGTATAGGATTATCTTGGACGTAGGTTCGAACCCTCATCACAACACTCTCCCACCAGTACCATAAACTCTCTCCCACCAGTACCATAAAAGGAAATGTAGATGTTTATCTCTCAGAATGTTTGGTAATATGTTTATTGTTTGTGATGTGTGTATATGTATGTATTAACACGATGTACTGAACGGGGTGAGAATAGCTTGAGCTACCTCATCCCTTTGTGTGTATTTTACCTCAATAAACTTATTTCAATTTCAAGTACCATAAACACTTCCCCACCATTACCATAAACTCTCTCATACTGGTACCATAAACACTCCCACGGCCCTTGTGGATTTGTTCACCAAGTCTTGGTGAAATCAGCCTTATCATGTCTTGTTTATATCCTTATCATGTCTTTGCTAGTCCTGATGCCGACGCCTTTCCTGGTATGAGAAATGACATGGTTCTAGGAGGATTTTAAGTGCAATAATCTCTTTGTAGGTAGGGTCTCCATGCAGTGTTCAGGGTAATAATGGATGAGAGATTCATACAACTGGATGACGGCTTTCTTTTCCTCAAAGTCAAAGGTTCATTTGATTATATATTACTAGGGTTTTGTCTGCTTCATTTTATCAGAGTTACCTGAGGGTCAGTAGGTAAAATAGTCGTCTCAACGAGGACAGGAAGCCGGCGGCTTGTTGATGGCCCCCCCTATTTACCTTGATGATCTTTTCCAGGTATATTTTAAAATTCGACACAGTTTTGGCAGTTACGGCTTTGGTGGGTATGCAGTTCAATTGGTTAATAACCCTGTCATTACTATTATCTACAACTCCATGCTGAGCAGCTTATGAACTGCTTACACGTGAACTACTTATCACTGAGAGGTTCTTCTCATTTTCAACCTGCTGCAAGGCTATGTTGTCAGTGTGGTAGTTGTTTCCTACATGTAACTGGCTTGTATTTTGTAATATTGAAAAACATTTGTGAAATTAATTTGCCTCTCCATTTTGGTTTGACACAGTATTTCATCATAACATATGAAACAGATAACCTTCAGCATAAACTATTAAAAATGGTAAACAATTTAAAATAACATTTATCAATATTTTTTGTGAGTATTTCATTGGTTGTTATTCCTCAATAAATTTCACCAGTTGAAATTTAAGTTAAGTGAATTGCTGTATTTTATCCTCTTGGCAGATATCAAACTCCAGGGACAATTGTTTTCACTTGGGATCAACCAGCACCAAGTGATCGAAATGGAGTAATTATTCTCTACGAACTACAATTCAGCAAGAATGTAATTCTCAACAATGACTTCAAACATGATAAAAATGTTAGTGATAGTAATCGCATAGTGTTTAATGGCTTGGAAGAAAATATGGATTATACATTTAAGGTAAGCCATTGCTCATTATTCTCATTATTTGTAGTATCTACTTGTAACATTTCTATGGAATGCTTTCTTTAAAATACAAAAATATATTTTCTTAATTATTTCTTGCTACAAATGATTAATAATTTGTATTTGCTGAAATAATTTGCTTGCTCATTTCAGTTGTTTCTCCAATTAGAATTTTAATTGTGTATTCTATTTCCTGATGTTATAATTATTGTCGGACTGATTCAACCATGTCACTCTTGCCATTTCCTGACAGTAAGCATGCAACACATACAAGTACAGTACATGATAAGAGGCATACCATATTACCAGGCATTGACATATTGAAACTCTACAAGCTGGAAAGGAAAGAGGAAGTGAGGGAATTATCAGGGGAAAGCACTAAGCCATTATGACTATATAGCACTTGGAAAGGGCCAGGATAAGGATTTGGGATGGGACGGGGAAAGGAATGGTGCCCAACCACTTGGACAGTCGGGGATTGAAGGCAGACCTTCATGAAGTGGGACTGTCACTCTATCGTCGTATGAAAAGAATTTTAGATAATTTTGAATTAGTGATACAGTATTATAAATGCGTACTAGTAGATAAAGTTCACTAATTATCATGACACAATATTTGTAAGTTCCCCGGTGTACTACTCTCAATGCCATACTCTTGTGCTAGCGTCTAGCCTCCCCAGCCACGATCACTTTTCTGCAGGATGTGGCTTTAATTATCATTATTATAGAGAAACCAATGAAAATACTTGAATTATGAGAAGTCAGACCACATTCACTTGCAAAGATGACACAGGGTCGATGCCTCGGAGAAAAAGAAATCGCATGAACAAACTCATTTGTACAATTTATGGAATAGTCCAAACTTAAATATAAAGGTACTAGTATTATTTTAAAAAATATTTTAAAATATTTTAACAAATAAAAACAAAAGAGTAAAACAAAAAATTACAGTACTTTGTTAAAATTAAATTATGTCATGAACCGACAAGCCCGATTTTAGTATTCTCTTCTGGATTTATTTGTTCTTGAATTCCAAATTTAGGAGGGAAATGCAGTTGACGGATTTTGTCCATTGTTTAGAGAAACTGTTATGTGAAGGTCCAGAGTTTTGAAGGAGTACTTTACATGTATGTACATATATATTTATTATACATGTACAGTGTATAATATATAATAGTATAGAGTACCATTTTTTATTTTGTTTAAATTGTGTGTAAATTGTTCACATACAGTAATATGAAATCTTTTTGGTACAGGTACGTGCTTGGACTTCAAAAGGCCCTGGACCATACAGTGAGACTTTGCACCTACATACTGAACCTGACCTTGTCCGTGCCCCTATGAACTTGCAGGGCCTTGCCACGTCAGAATCCTCCATTGAAATTTGGTGGGAACCAGTGCCCTCACGAGGCAAAGTCATAGGATACCAGGTATGTATAAGCATTAGGTGCTTTTGGTAGCTCATTACGGTACTGCAAGTTTGTTGGGAAGAACCAAGTACCAGTTATTTTGATTAGGTAACATTTGCTTTTATTTGGTATTTAAATAAGTTCTTGTTAAAATGTAAGATATTGAAAAAGATCTGTAGAAGAAACTAGCACAACATTTCTTAATACTGATACTTATATTTCCCAGTGCCTTGAATAGGGAAAGTGGGATTAGGCTGGCCTTATTCCAGAAGACCTGCCTGGGCTGAATCTCCATACAGCATTGGCCAATTACGGGGATTTTTCTAGTTAATAGTTTTCATAAAATATTTCACGAAGACCTAATGGTGTATGGAAAATATATATGGTACTAAATGTGGTAGGATATATATCCAGCAGCACTAAAGACAAGTTATGGAGTGTAGTCAATGTAACTATTGTAGTCTTGTATCTGTTAATGAATTGTAGAAATAGAAGAAACCAGAGTTTGTCCTGGACTGTTGCATTCCCCTCACAAGGGTCCCTCCCTTAACGTGTTTTACTGCATCACTGAGATACAAGTCATAAAATAAACAAGTGACATGGGTTAATTTCATGTTTTGTCTAGCTTTGTAACAGTCTTTTTGACACTGAAGTTAAGATGTAATATTTTTTAATTCTTAAATCTCCATTCATTTCTTGCTTTGATTTTTGTAAATGGTAAGAAATCTTGTGAGTAAAAAAAAAAAAAAAAAAATAAAATGTTTATTTAGGTAAGGTACATACATAAAGTAAATTTTTACAAAGATTGGTTGACTTATAGGTAGAGCTAGTACATACAATGCCTAAAGCCACTATTACGCAAAGCGTTTCGGGCATGATAGTTTTTCTGTAAAAGTTTTCTGTAAAAGTCAATCTGATGTCATTGAGGGTGGAAGAAAAAGAAAACATGACACAGTTGAGCCCCTAATTATCTAAGTGTAGTTTTAGATGAGAGCTACACTTGTGGTGTCCCGTCTTGCCAGTATTCTTTGTCGTATAACATTTTAAAGCTACAATACTGACGGTTTTGGCCTCCACCCACCTTCTCACTTAACTTATTCCAACTGTCTACCACTCTATTTGGATTGATGATTGAAGAGTATATTGTTGACTACTGTATTTGGTTCATTTTAGGTAATAATGCCTGCCATTTCCCAGGTGTTTGTAACACACACCATTCATAGTTGGCAAATTCAAGCAGACCTAGGAGACTCGTCCCATAAATTAGCAGGTGTCTACTGTGTCTAAAAAATATTCTTAATGTATATGAACTGGATTATAATGTATAATCCAGTTCTCTAATGATTATGTAAAAAATGTTTTTATTTAGAATTGCTTTCTTACAAGCAATAAATGAAATTAATGGTTATTTTATAGTAGGCCAAATTACAGTAAATTTGACCAATTCATTTTCTTTACATTGTATCAGGTGTTCTACACAATGTCTCCTGGACCTGATTTGGATTTGTGGGATCAAGTTAGTGTTCCAATAACCCACTCGGCAGAACTTCAAAACCTTGAACGTCATGCTGAGTATGCCATTGCTGTGGCTGCGCGAACTGCTTCCGTAAGTTTATTAAATTTGTAATACTGTAGCAGGTATAAAATTACCTTATGAATTTTTTTAGAATGGCTTCTTGTAGTATTTGTGTATTTATTTGAAAGTACTGTATGTGTTTTAACAGAATGGAAAATCAGATATTAGTCAGTTCTCTTGTATATAGACCACTAGATACAGAGCAATGGGATAAAGAACCTATGAGGGGTAACAAGTAACATTGCATTAATGTCATTATTAGAACACATTCAATGGAACTACAGTAGTGATTCTGGATGGATACAAAGAAGCATAAATCATCTTAATCAAATCAAAATCAAATCAAATGTTTATTCAGGTAAAGTACATACATACAAGGTGAAATACAAACATTGATGGATTTATAGATAGAACTAGTACATACAATGCCTAAAGCCACTATTACGCAAAGCGTTTTGGGTAGGCAATCCAATTAATATATTTGGATTGCACAAGATGTACAAGGTTGAGAATTTGCAGCACTTTCTACCACTTTGACAGATACAGTACCTCCACCAAGAAACCATTTTACATATAACTCTCATAATTGACTCCTGAAAGTTGATATTCATCAGAAAATTGTCAAAAAAACAAACTGGCCCAGGCCCTAAACATTATATGGAAACCGAGCCTAGATACTCGTGTCATCCCTGACATACTTAACCTCTGCACTGAGCACATGTTAAAGTTGATGCCCCTGTGTTGCCCCAAAATAAAATTGTCCTGAACAAATTATTTTTTCATTTGAAATTGTTAGTTAGCATTCAAGAAGCACAAAAACCCAAGTAAAAAGTCTTTCTCTCTACCTTTTGTGGTTTAGCCGTAGTGGCCCAGAGAAAGTTGCATTTATAAGGTAGAAATGAGGTGAGGTGCCACACAGGCATAACTTTGTTGATTAGTTTTTGTTTCATTGTTTTCCAATTATTTATTTAGTTTTTTGTTCTGACAAGCTGTATTGATGTGTCAAATGTGGTGTTCATTATGTGTAACTTAGAAAAACTGCAAATATGTGCAGAGATAAGGATTTCGATCCAAAATATGGCCCAGGAGTCGGATTTGGGATATTTGGGACATTTTGAAAACTGCAGGGGGGTTTGGGCAAAATGTGACCCATCGCTGTTTTCAGTAATTGGCATATTTTCAGTATAAAAGTCGTAATTTCAAACTGCAAATATGTGCAAAGAGCTAGAATTTGACTCCAAAATATGGCCCAGGAGTCGGATTTGGGATATTTGGGAAATTTTGAAAGCTGCAGGGGGGTTTGGGCAAAATGTGACCCATTGCCATTTTCAGTAATCGGCATATTTTCGGTATAAAAAAATCATAATTTCAAACTGCAAATATGTGCTGAGAGCCAGAATTTGGCTCCAAAATAAGACCCAGGAGTCAGATTTGGGACATTTGGGATATTTTGAAAACTGCAGGGGGGTTTGGGCAAAATGGGACCCATCGCCGTTTTTAGTAATTGGCTTATTTTCGGTATAAAAAGTCGTAATTTCAAATTGCAAATATGTGCAGAGAGCCGGAATTTGGATCCAAAATATGGCCTAGGGGTCGGATTTGGGATATTTTAGATATTTTGAAAACTGCAGGGGTGGTTTGGGCAAAATGTGACCAATCGTGGTAGTAATTGGCATATTTTCGTATAAAAAGTCGTAATATCAAACTGCAAATATGTGCAGAGAGCCAGAATTTGGCTCCAAAATATGGCCCAGGAGTCGGATTTGGGATATTTGGGATATTTTCAAAACTGCAGGGGGGGTTAGGGCAAAATGTGACCCATCGCCGTTTTCAGTAATTGGCATTTTTTCGGTATAAAAAGTCGTAATATCAAACTGCAGATATATGCAGAGAGCCAGAATTTGTCTCCAAAATATGGCGCAGGAATTGGATTTGAGATATTTGAGAAATTTTGAAAACTGCAGGTGGGTTTGGGCAAAATGTGACCCATCCCTGTTTTCAGTAATTGGCATATTTTCGGTATAAAAAGTCGTAATTTCAAACTGAAAATATGTGCAGAGAGCCAGAATTTGCCTCCAAAATATGGCCTGGAGTAGGATTTGGGATATTTGGAAAATTTTGAAAACTGCAGGGGTGTTTGGGCAAAATATGACCCATCACCGTTTTCAGTAATTGGCATATTTTCGGTATAAAAAGTCGTAATTTCAAACTGAAAATATGTGCAGAGAGCCAGAATTTGCCTCCAAAATATGGCCCAGGAGTCGGATTTGGGATATTTGGGATATTTTGAAAACTGCAGGGGGGTTTGGGCAAAATGTGACCCATCGCTTTTTTCAGTAATTGGCATATTTTCGGTATAAAAAGTCGTAATTTGAAACTCCAAATATGCGCAGAGAGCCATAATTTGGCTCAAAAATATGGCCCAGGAGTCGGATTTGGGATATATGGGATATTTTGAAAACTGCAGGGGGGTTTGGGCAAAATGTGACCCATTGCTGTTTTCAGTAATTGGCATATTTTTGGCATAAGAAGTTGTAATTTAAAACTGCAAATATGTGTAGTGAGCCAGAATTTGGCTCGAAAATAATGCTCATGATTCAGATTTGGGATATTTGGGATATTTTGAAAACTGCAGGGGGGTTTGGGTAAAATTTTACCCATTGCGGTTTTCATAAATTGCCATATTTTTGGCATAAGAAGTCGTAATTTAAAACTGCAAATATGTGCAGTGAGGTAGAATTCGGCTAGCAAATAACGCTAATGAGTCACATTTGCGATATTTCTGATACAGTATTTTGAAAACTGCAGGGGGGAGGGGGGGTTTGGGTAAAATGTGACTCATTGCGGTTTTCAATAATGGCATATTTTTGGCATAAGAACAGGTAATTTCAAACTGCAAATATGTGCAGTGAGCCAGAATTTGGCTCGAAAATAATGCTCATAATTCACATTTGCGATATTTCCAATATTTTGAAAACTGCTGGGGGGTTTGGGTAAAACGTGACCTGTTGCTGTTTTCAATAATTGGCATATTTTCGGTACAAAATATAATGTAAAACTGTCGCAGTGTAAAACTACAAAAATGTGCATTCGCATATCAGAAGACATTTTTGTATTTGTTGACAATGTATTGATATTAATCATTGTCTTTGGGAGCAGCATCCACTTCACTTGTTACCCTTTCTTCCCTGTATCATAAACCAAATTTGAGGATGTTGCTCTCCACTTGGAATACTAGTTCAGTTAGGATCTCTTCTGTTTACAACACTCTTTGTTGCCTATTTTTTGGTCATTATTTTTTCCATCCTATTATTTTTGTCTGATTTTCATTATTTTTTCTAGAATGAGGATGGAGTGCAAAAGATGGGAGGGAGCTATGTCATTAAATATGATTTTTTAAAAGAAAACAGTAGACTATCACAACTTCAAGGAAGATAATAGGATGAATTATATTACATGCAAGAGGGATTCTTAGCAATTGATTCTTTTCATAGCTTTTGTACTTTCTAGACTAGCAAATTGCTGTATATTGTACTAACAATTCTTCTTAAGGCTGGCAATATTGCTTTTAAAGAGAATTTTAAAAGAACATTTGCTTCCCACATTCATTGAAACACAAGAACTACCAAGATTGCATACAAACTCTGAAATTATATTCTCTAATGCATACGCAGGATATATAGCCAGATTTATAAAAGTACAGTACTGTACTTAGGAACATACTAAAAGTATTGTTCTAAATGCACACACTGAAACAGTTCCAAATAAGAGCAGAAAGCATAACAAGATGTGCAAAATAGTTCTGGTGAAAAGTATGTGAGCAATAATAATGCTACAAAACCTCCATAAGGGTCGAGGCCTTCACCTCCCAACTAATTTGACAGATACAACAAACATAACTCCAAATGATCTTCAAGAAAGAATTTGATCAGCTGTACTAAAACCAATGATCAACCATTCACTGATTGCCGTAGTGTCTACATTTGAGTGGAAACGGCAGACACAAGCCCTTGCATTTATAATGTTGACGACCTTGAGGCCGTGGCCGAGGTTAGGTTGTGTCGGGAGTGAAGTGGTGGGAACACTGGTGAAGGAGAGTGAGGCAGATAACTCTCATTACAGTGATAGCTGTAGGTGTAATGAAACAGGTATTTTCTAAGCAGTGTTTATGCACACATGTAGTTTTTTTTGTTCACAGAATACCTTGCTTCTTCAAGAAATTTGTGAGTATAGAAACAGTTACTAGAACAGATGTGAAAATTAAACTTATGAGAAATAATATGGTGTGTCTACGTATATATTTATACATATATACTTTATATATATATTATTTATTTATACATTACTCACACATGCACATAGGCACACAATGAGTCACTTAAAATCATCCTCCCAATCAGTTTATTTAAACTCACATTTGCACAGTAAATATGTTGTATTTTTTATATACGCATAGGAAATTACAAGCCTCTAATACTTATTCCATTTTGTCTTTCAGTTTTCTGTATTTAAACAGAAATGTTTTACAGTTTACAATAAAACAGTTGTATATGCTGTGTTTTCAAATGAACTAGACTGAAGAGAAATTAGATGTTATATGTTGTTGTAATAACTTTCACTGTATTTTGTTTACTTAGGGCCTGGGTCGTCTATCAACACTTCTCCAAGTTCGTGTTAAGCCTGTTGATGTCCCCATGCACCTGCGGGCTCATCACGTGACCACACACTCTGCTAATCTTACGTGGGGACCACCTATTCAACTCAACCCCATGCACTTTAAGGTGAGATATGGCACTAACAGTATACTGTATAATATTTTACTGTAGCATCTTTACAATACATGGACTAATTGTAATAGTATTGGAAAGTGTTTAAATGTTGAAGTTCTTAGTGAAGTGGATGTAGCTACAGGTAATTATTATTTTATCTAAAATAATTTAGATCAAAATTTAATTTTATTTATCTAGAGTAAGCACAACATTTGGCATACAGCCAAGATACTTTTATCAGGGACCTGGGGTGAAAAAATATGAAATGATACTTTTAGACTCTTTACTTGAATGCCAGTCTCCCAGTTGGTACTACTTTGGTAAATGTACTGTAATTACCCCTCTTCAAAAATTAGTTTTATTGCCAAGAGTATGTATGTCACTTGACATTACATAAGCTCCACCCTCCCTATATCACCTTGCATCTTGTCTGTTACTTTCCCCAGTTAAGCATTCCAGACTTTACAAAATGTAAAGAAAATGATGACATACACTTGGGAAGTAACACGACATGAAAGTCTCAACATGATGTTGAGAATTTATCGTCCAATATTAAATGACATACTAAGTTGGACTGAAGGAAGGGAATGATAAAGCATGATATAAAGTCAATTCATTGTCACCAGTCACATTTGAATTACCGTGCTACGTACTCCTGTATGTCGGATAAATTGTAAAAGATTTACCACTAGATATTACATTGTGGGTATATTTTATATGATACAATTTACACCCCTAAGAAAAAGGGTTAAATTTAGACCTAGTGGGCATGCCTAATTATATAGAAATATTCATCATGAATTTCATAAAAGTGGGTCTTCATCGAGATAGTCAATCTTGGTCATATAACAGCAGTGATTTACTGTTGAAGATAGGTCGAATGATTTTCAGTCTCTTATTTATACAGTATATACTGTATATATAGTGTATATTTTTTTACTGTTTATACACAGTAGTACTGTCTTTCAAGTATATTATTGTTATCTGTGATTTCAGGTGACCTACAGTGCAGTGAAAGAATTTGTGGATGCCCAAGGAGTCACACAAGTCCAAAGAATCCCAACTGTTACCCATATTGTCCAATATCGAAAATATTGCTATATCATAGAAGACTTGAGGCCTTTCACTACTTACACTGTAAATGTTACTGCTGTACCCCAAACAAATGAATACCGTCCACCAGCTAAAATTACAGTTACCACTCAAATGGCAGGTAAGTAAAATACACTTAGTGGTTTATTTCAAAAGCTGAGAATATTTAGTATACAGTAACTCCATTTATCCTCATTGGTCAGGACCAACATGTGTCTCGATATCCATTTTTTATTTAACACCTGGGAAGAGCTTCCTGTACAGTATCCCCATAAATATAACTGGGTTGATACACATATTATTATTTGATCATGTTACCTATGGTTCATTTGTGGCTAGTTTTTTCTTGTTTCTATGTTCACGGGCTTCCCTGGCGAGGCCAGGCTGCCATGGTGATTGCCAGGTCACTTAGGCTATCATCACTGTTGAACAGCCAACACAGGCTGGACTCGGCTAACATAAAGAACTGTTTGTTGTCCACTGGTTAACATAAAAATTTATACATGGAGAAGTATGTTATTTTGTTTTTTGTAATTCATGTCTAAATGCTGTTAATGTTCTAAGACCAGATAAATGGAGTTACTGTATTGTTTAATCTGCAGATATGCTGGGTTTACATTAAATAATAATACAATAATAAATCTGTCATTGTAGTAATTATTAAGCTCACTGTATGTATAATGCTATAATTTTCTTGAATAGCTCCCCAGCCCATGGTTAAGCCAGACTTCTACGGAGTTAAGGGTGATCATGAGATTGCCATGATCCTACCCCAGGCTTCAGAGGAATATGGCCCGATTGCTTTTTACTACCTCATTGTTGTACCGGAGGATAAGATGCACCCCTTCAAGAATCCTGATCAGTATCTGACTGATGATGTAAGTGTAAGTTCATTACATTTCTTATTGATTAATTGGTAATACTATAGTTCACTTGTCTGATCAGTTTATCCTGGGTTTCTTTTTGTTTACAAATGAATAATGGCTATAACTAAACTAAAACTTAAATTTTAAACGCAGCATAATGATATATAAACGTTGAAAATATGAAGATGAGTTAGTCTATATTGAATTCAATTATTTAAATCACAGATGTTTATTTGCAAACTAAATTTAGGATAATTATTTTTAATTGCATGGTATACAGTGTCCTCACTTGAACGAACTATATGGAGCGAGGCCGATCCGTTCCATTGCGGATTTCGTTCTACCCATCAGCACCAGGCTATCCCTCCCCTCTATGTGAAAAGAACAGAGGTTCTTTTTTTGTCCACTATAGACAAAAAAAATTTCAAGAAATATATTTATGTACTTATCATTTTGAACATGGCACATGATAGAACAATCATTGGTGAACAATGCCATATCAAAATTATAACTATGTGATTATTATTGGTGGCCACAAATTATGATGTAATGGCCTGGATTTTCCTAAGTCAACGGCATCAGTCTCGATATAAATATAACAAATCCATTTATTATGAATTCTTCATTTTCACTATGGCATTTGATAGAACAATCACTTACAAACAATTTGGTATAAAAATGCTACATATGCTACTAGGTATACTAGCTACTAGCTACTAGGCTACTGGTATAAAAATGCTACTAGGGGGAGCCGGTCGGCCGTGCGGACAGCACGCTGGATTTGTGATCCTGTGGTCCTGGGTTTGATCCCAGGCGCCGGCGAGAAACAATGGGCAGAGTTTCTTTCACCCTATGCCCCTGTTACCTAGCAGTAAAATAGGTACCCGGGTGTTAGTCAGCTGTCACGGGCTGCTTCCTGGGGGGTGGAGGCCTGGTCGAGGACCGGGCCGCGGGGACACTAAAAAGCCCCGAAATCATCTCAAGATAACCTCAAGATCTCAAGATATATGAAGATTATTGAAGCCAATCAAGTGAATTTTTTTCACTTGAATTGACTTTCTGAATTTTCTCAACAAACTGACTTGAGGGGAGGGGACGGGGTGGTTGGCTTGCCGCTAATGGTCGAGTGTGGGTGGGTGGAGGGGGAGGTTGTTAAGTCGGCAGTAGAGGAAGGGGATTGCCAGCCAGACTGGCAGGCCTCGGGCCAGACCAGGCTTCAGGCTTCAGGTCAGGCCTGAGCTTCCCCTGACAACAACTTCCACCACTAACTCTTCCTGCCTCCCCTGGCAACAACTTCCACCACCTGCCCCAACACTAAATCCCAACTACTGACACCACTTGCCCTCAGACACCAACCTTCACCAATGACACCATTTTATAATGCTTCACTGCCGCCTTCCTGGAAACAATGAGTAAGCAAAATAAAACATTGTACAACTGTTTACACTGGTAAATCATAGTTGATGAAAGCCACCTCCCGACACTCCTGTCTGTGACTGCTTGGATGAACAGTCCTTGCTTAATCGAACATTCATATGTTCCACTGAACATTTGGTACCGAATACAATTCGTTCTGACCATCCGAGAATTTGTTAGAGCGAGGATGCACTTACAGGATAATTTAATCAACCCTAATTTTTCTCTTAGTTGAAAGTTCAAGTAAACAAGATCAATATTATTTTATTACTTTTTATATAATCCATCAAACTTTAATGAAGCTATCATTCTGTTTATGGATCTAAAAACAAATGGCTCATTCTTTGCTCATCTCTCCATCCACCTGTCAGTGAAAGTGACTACCAGATAATGTTTAGGTACTGTAATTACAGGTTTTGGCTATATGAACATTTTATTTAGGGTGGAATGGAAATTGCCAATAGTTAACTTTAAAAGCTAATGATCAGTGTACATTGCAAAAATGAGTGATGTATATTTAAATAAAATAAATATATAAATGTAATTTTTATTTTTGCTAAAAGGAATGTTTCAAAGACGAGACACTCTATGGACATTAAAAACTAAACATTACCACTAGAGTATTTTGCTCTAGGTTAAAAGAGAGAATCAAGAAAACCAGAATTGTACTGTATATTATTTTTTTAATTTAACTTAAGACAAGGTTTGCTGCTTACTCCAATTTCATGTAATGTTTGCTTAAATACTAATATTTCTTTGTTACAGCTCATAGCTAACAAAGCGGGAAGTAAGGAGGCTCTAGCAGAAGGTCCGTACATTGCGGCAAAGTTCCTACATCGTAATATACCATACTCTTTTTCTCTTGGCAATGGACTAATATATGAGGGCTTCAAGAACAGACCTCTACAGAAAAAGAAGAGGTATGTTTCTTTACAGACAGAATAGAGAAAAAAGGATTCGAGTGTTAATGGCATCATCTCTGGTATAACCATCTAAAATTATATCATTTTAATTTTAAATGCCTGATGTTCGGGCATTTACTCTAAAGTCGTTTAAATTAATAGCATCAGTGTTAGAAAGTCAATCATTTTATTTGAAAAATGGAAGGATATCGTGTAAGGTACAAATGTTGTAAATTCCTGATGTTTTAAAGAAATTAATATAAAACATTTACAAGCAGTTTAAGACAGAACTTAATTTTTATATTTTTATTTGTAACTTTTCTTCATATATTGACAGTGTTTTCTTATTACAGATACAAGATTTTTGTAAGGAGTGTAGTGGACACGCCTGGTCAGGTAAGTCTCGGTGTACAGAGCATACAATATTGAAATGCAAGAACCAAAGCAATTGTATGGGCTATTATTTGTAACTATCATATTTAAATACTGTACCAAATTTCAGTATAAATTTCCTCAGAGTCCCATCCCAAATCCTTATCCTGACGCCTTCTAAGTGTTATATTACAAAGTGTAATGGCTTGGCACTTCCCTCCTCAGAGCTCCATTGATTAAATTTTATAACTATATTATATATGATTTATTAAGTTTGACAAAAACATATTACAATGCTCAAGCGTGGGAGAGTCCCAGATTATACAAGTTTAGTGTGACAATGAGTGGAGGTAAGAGAGGAATATAAGGGTGTAAGTGTAATTATTTTTTGTCGAGTAGTGTTTTGAGTACAATTTCCGAGTTAAAACATTTTGTTTAAACCGGATTATCTAATGTGAAATGAAATTAACTGGACAACTATCCCTGCAACATACAATATTCTCATAATAAGTAAAACTTTTTTTTTTTTACACAGCACCTGTATACATCATCACCGTTCTCTGCCTTCATCTCGCTCGACATGCGTCCCGCACCCTCGGGAGAACTGCCCAGGCGACCTAACCCATTTGAACCAACCAACCCATCAGATGTTCATATTCAAGACAATGTTAATGATATGGAAATGCTGATGATCATTGGTCCAGTGATTGGAGCTGTACTGCTTGTGGTTATCTCTCTCTTCTTATTCCTGTTTGTATGGAAGTAAGTTGTAGGGTTATTTTTGTATAAATATATATTGCTGAAATCACTATCTGCAATTTCTTCCTGTGCACAGATTGCAATATGCAATTGATCATCATGGGTTTTCAATACTTATTTTTTCGTATGCAACTGGTTGTAGGACTTTAAATTGCTTAGCAGTTTGAGGGTTAAATTAGAAACTTGTCACATATTAATATAAGCTATAAATTATATTTTTAGGGAATTAAATAATGTGAGTTCAGAATATAAAATATTCTCCAGTAATTATAACCAATTTAATAACCTATTTATTGCTAATAATTTTGTTAACTACTTAGGCGTCGTCGACAGCCAAAGTCACCAGACCAAGCCCAAGTAACGAAACCACTAATGGCAGACCTTGGTGGTAGTCATGGAGGTGGTGGTGGTATTGGGGGAGGAGGCGGTGGTGGTGTTGGAATCATTCCAGCTGCTCCCTCGGATCCTGTCGAGATGCGACGACTAAATTTCCAAACTCCTGCCATGATGTCTCATCCTCCTATACCCATCTTACAATTGGCTGATCACATAGAAAGACTGAAAGCCAATGACAATCAGAAGTTTTCACAAGAATATGAGGTAAGAAGTTTTGAAACAACACATTACCCACGTATGATATTTGACATAATGATCATTAACTTAATTGTAAAAACTAATCAAATTATCATTTGTATAAAGACTGATCTTCATAGATTGCTATATTAATAATAAGAGTAATTATTTTATTTAAAAAATACAGTATACAAAAGTATAATATACTGTACATTGGTTTAATAATTGTCACAAAGTATGTAGAAGACCACTAATATGCAAAGCATTTTGGGGATTAAAAAATCCCTGAACTCCCCCCAATAAACTGTGATGGGATAACTTAAAATAATTCAGTTAGGTTGCATAAAAGGTTCAATAAGGTAAACAATACTAAATAAGAAGCAAACATAGTTCAAGAAAGTTAGCAAGTGATATAAAACTTTATGCCCTCCTTAATGTAAAAAATACTTAAATGTTTTGTATAAAAACTAATATGATACATTTTCTGTGTCTAAATTATAAAGGCTTTCATGGAATAAAATTGAGACAGAATTGCACATATTAAATTAATAAATTGTTTTCATTACAGTCTATCGAACCTGGTCAACAATTTACTTGGGACAATAGTAATTTGGAAATCAATAAGCCGAAGAATCGTTATGCCAATGTTATTGCCTATGACCATTCAAGAGTGGTACTTCAGAACTTAGAGGGAGTACCTGGCAGTGATTACATTAATGCTAATTTCTGTGATGGTTACCGTAAACAAAATGCCTACATTGCTACTCAAGTAAGTATTGTGTATGTGTTTTACATGTATGGGTATATGTGCACATTCACCACTCTCTCTCCTCTTTCACGGGAGATTTCATTTTAAATTAATTTTAATTTAAGAAAATTTTTAATGATTTACAACTAAGTAATAATATCTAAAGAATGAGATTATAGTGAGCCGCTTGACACTCGACTCCATCTGCTCAACTTCTCCAACATGCATCAAATTTCATTTCACTTATGTAGGCAAAGGTCTCAACAACTTCATATTTTCATCAGTTACAAAGCACAAAATAGAAATGGCCAACATCATTTCAGATTATTATTTAATCTTACACTGACATGCTTATAACGTCAAACATTGCCTCGAGCAATACAATACTATACTGTATATCACAATATTGTCATATTTTTAAGTATAACAAATGCCTATATGGCAGTTTCATGTTTACATCTTAATCATATTTATCTTAGACAAACCTAAATTGATTTAATGTATTTTTTTCAGGGTCCTCTTCCCGAAACATTTGGAGATTTGTGGCGTATGCTCTGGGAGCAGCGATCCTGTACAATTGTGATGATGACTAAGCTAGAAGAACGTACAAGGATCAAGTGTGACCAGTATTGGCCTGCACGAGTCTCTGCCATGGAGACATATGGAATCATGCATGTTACCCTTACTGATGTACAGGAACTTGCCACTTATACTGTCAGGACATTCCAACTGCAAAGGGTAGGTGGAGATATTCCTAAAACTGCTTCTTTTATTCTTTTATCTTATGTACTGTTTATTATGTGAGAATTCCAATTCATTCATCTTGGGACCCTAGTTGCTATGCCACCATATTTATTTTTTTTGACCATCCAACTTTGTCATATATGGTACTCCATCGCATTTCTCTGATGTCTAATGAAATACTGACTGCCAATCTAATAATTTATTAACTTCAGTGTAGTATATTCCATAAGATTGTGGATTGTGAAACATCAGAGCATAACCATACTTAAAGACATAACAGTGTCTTTGAACCGTCAAAAATGCTAAATGTGGGAAGCTGTGATGTCAGTAGTATGTATGTATGTATGTATGTATATATATATATATATATATATATATATATATATATATATATATATATATATATATATATATATATATATATATATATATATATATATATATATATATATATATATATATATATAATATAAATAATGTAATTGTATGTGTAATTGAAACAGGTCACATAATTCTATTGATTTGGCATACAAATTCGTATTGTATTGAAATATAATTTAGTATACTGAAAGTGACAAACATGTTACAGTCTGGTAGCTTGGATCGACGAGAGATTCGACAGTTCCAGTTTACCGCTTGGCCTGATCATGGAGTCCCTGACCATCCCTCTCCATTCCTAATGTTCCTTAGGCGTGTCCGCCATGTCAACCCACAAGAATCTGGGCCAATCACCGTCCACTGCAGGTATGTCTCTCGCAAAACTAGAATCAAAATGTTTTCAGCAGATTACAAAAAAATTGCAAAGGCAAGTTACACAAATTCGACCATTTTGATCACTAAGTTTCTAAATCATTTAAATTAATCAATGTTCAATTTAAAGGAATAGTCCAACGTTAGTTTGAAATTTGTATATCATTGCACCAATTATTTCATTTGCATGTAAGTGGCTAGTTTCATAACAATCTTTCAACCTTTGACAATAATAATCTAATAATGGAAATTATTTCCAGTGCTGGTGTGGGTCGAACAGGAGCCTTCATAGTAATTGATGCCATGCTGGAGAGACTTAAGCATGAACAAACAGTGGACATCTATGGCCATGTCACCTGTCTACGAGCTCAGAGGAATTATATGGTGGGATCCCTTAAAAAACAGTGCCAGAAATATCATTACTAAAAATGCAATATTAAAAAATTTGCACTCTAAATACTCTGTATTATAGCAATTATTTAAAAAGGAAATTTGGAGCATAATAGTGAATTTAAATTATGTTAGATAATTATCAATGTAGCTATTAATTCATGCTTGATGAATTTTTAAGTTTCATAATTAACCATAATAAACAATTGATGAATTGTGACTTTTCCAATAAATTTGACTACCTTTGGTGTTTAAATTTTAAGTATATTTTGTATAATAAAGTAAAATAGATGTTCAAGAAGATTACAAACTCTGAACACATCAACCGTGTAACATTATCACATGTACAGTACAGTATTATGTTTTTATATAAAGATGTTTTACAAATATTTAGTATTGAATGTACTGTAATACTGTATTGGTTTGCAGGTTCAAACTGAAGATCAGTACATCTTTATCCACGATGCCTTGCTTGAGGCAGTGATGGCGGGTAACTCGGAAGTACCGGCACGCAGCCTGCATAAACACATCGAGACACTGATGACTGTAGAACCCGGTGAGAATGCCACTGGCATGGAGCTTGAGTTCAAAGTAAGTAGTAAATCTTATTCTAGTATTTCCCATATAGTACTAATTGGCCACCCTCCTTCCTTCCTTCCTGTAGGCACATGATATTGATGTAACATTAAATCCATGACGTTGACATAACATTAAATCAATGTTGATAGCATTGATCCTATCCTGATTTAATGTTACCGTAGTATATTTTACCTGCTGGGAAGGATGGACTATCCATTATCCACCTTCATTCATTTATCTTTAAATTGAAAACTAAGACTGCCATTATATTTTATGCTTGCCTTTCTGTTTGGGTGTCTATATATATAGATATATTTCATCATACATGAAACTGTACTTTTATAAAATATTTATTGACAAAAAAAATATTTCCTTTTGTGTATTTAAATCTTTTCACATCTTAAAATAGTTTTTCTATTCACATATTTTCTTGATATGCTGTATGCCATACACATGAAGCTTTACAAATTGGAAAATTGCTAGAATTTGCATTTCTTGACTTCCACTATTTCAGGGTTTTCATACAATTATATCCACACATACAGCTTATTCTTGCATTAAATACTTATAAATAGCATTATATAAACATTATTTTTGTACAAGTTTAGGCTACAAAAAGCTGTATCATAGTTGCCTTCATTCTTGACTCAATAATCAGAGATCCTGGTTTCAATTCCCAGACAGGACAAATTGTTAAGCAGGTTTCCTTTCAACTAATGCAGCTGTCCACTAGCAGTAAATAGGTACCCAGTAATTAGGCAACTCTCATGGGGTAGCATCCTTGGGAAGGCCGGTAGTTCAATTTAGGGGAAAACCCTCGCCACAAGCTTGAAGTACAGTATATACAGGCTTCCTTCTCCCATAGACAATAGGAATTGTATCTTTTTAGATGATTTATTGTGCTTATTGTACTTAAAATTCAGTAGTAAATACACATTATATACTTGACCTTTTATGTGTATATCTTTTTCCCTTGCAGCGCTTAGCAAATATTAAAGCCCAACCGTCGAGGTTTGTCAGTGCCAACTTGCCTGTTAACAAGTTCAAGAACAGATTAGTCAACATTTTGCCTTTTGAAGGTAGCCGTGTGTGCTTGCAGCCTCTTCGTGGAACTGAAGGCTCTGACTATATTAATGCCAGCTTTATTGATGGCTACAGGTAACATTTCATCTCTCTGGTAGCTGAATATTTCCAAAATATTAAGCTTTCTGTTATACTGGGTCCTTAATTTTGAGGGTACTCTGTACTAAGTTTACATAATTACTAAGTTGTTTGAGTTGAAGTAACTGTTTTGATCATTATTGTAATTATTAATAGAATAAGACAGTCATATATCTTTCAGCAAAATTTAGGTATTTTCGAAGTAATATTTCAAAATAAAATGCAGGTACCGTTGTGCATACATTGCCACTCAAGGTCCACTTCAGGAAACTGTGGATGACTTCTGGCGGATGCTCTGGGAGCACAACTCCACCATTGTGGTTATGCTAACTAAACTCAAGGAAATGGGCAGGGTAAGCCATGTACTGTTGTGCTAAAATACCTTAGGAGAATAAACGTTTTAGAGTCGTCCAATGTTTTAGTGATGCTGCAGTTTAGTTGTATGTTTATATCTTTGTTACTTTGTATATAGACATTATAGTATTAATATGAACCTCGTCTGATGATGCAGAGATTAACATTTATTCTGATAATGCAGGAGAAATGCTACCAGTACTGGCCCAATGAACGATCTCAGCGGTACCAGTTTTATGTGGTAGACCCAATAGCCGAGTATAATATGCCTCAGTATATTCTCAGGGAGTTTAAGGTAAATAGTGTACCATATTCTGTGCAACAATTTAACATGTATAGAAGTCTAATTATAAAGCTTAAATGTTAAACATATTGTATTTTATTTTTATTGTGTTTCTCTGCTGCCAGTAGAGAAGCAGACTGTCTATATTTTATTATTAACCACATTTTAAACATGAATTATGATACTAATTTGTTGTACTTTATTTAACAGATAACTGATGCTAGAGATGGCCAGTCACGCACCATAAGACAGTTCCAGTTTATTGAGTGGCCTGAACAGGTGTGGATTTTACAATACATTAACTTTTAAATTAGGACCAGGGATGATTGTACAAAAATCAGGGAAAATGCATTTTCTTATTATGTTTGAGGATTTTTAAGATAGTGCACTATATTTCAAACTATTTATTGATAAGTGCACTATATTTGCTTCAAATAATTCATTGATAAATATCTTGGCAAACTATAGAAACAAAGAAGTAAGCAAGGGAAAATGCTAACTGGTAAAAAGATCAGAAGTTGTGAATGGGGTTGCATTCCTGGAGATGGATGCCATAACACTTAATATTTAGCTAAACATCCTGTATTGAAGGGGGGAAGGGATGGATGGATGCATGCCAGGATCGTGCACTTTGTACTAAAGCAAAACAATATATGTAATATTTAGACACACATTACAGTACATTGTAAAACAATATACACCAAACTGTCCCGGCTGAAAATGACAGCAAACCATGTGATATTTTGCACATTCTCTTACCTATAGTGCAGAACATAGGTGGCTTATGCCCGACACTTACTATGTAACATCAAACCCATAATGTTTACCCCCCTTCCCTATAAAACATTTCTATAGAAAAAATCAAATAAAACTTAGAAATATATAACTTAATCAAATACCAAAGTTACTACAATTGAAGAAGAATTCAAAGATTAGAATTCCCATTCAATTACATACCTCATCAAACCTTATCTTATTAAAGATACACTTAAGCAAAACAAAGAATATCTTTTTAAATGTACAAAGAATTTTCATATCACTATTTAAAATAAACTCTTATAGCTTTGACACCAGAAATCAAAATTTTTATTAAACTTTAAATTAAATCATTGGTAAAACCAAACCCCTTTTCAAATTCAATAAATTTAAAGGAATTAAATCTAAACTTGATACATAATATTCCCCCTCAACTTAAAAGAACAACATGCATTTAACGACTTGAAAAATGCTCCATGCTCCCTAATTGAATATAAGGTATAAGCTGCACTAAAAAAAAAAAAAATTATCCTAACTGGTCTTCATCTTACTATCCTAATGATTAATCTCCCCTAATAAATTTAATGTGGACAGAGCTGCTATATTCCTAATTCTCAATAAAAATCACCTAAAATGAAGGTATTAAATTTAGTAACCCTTTATTAACTAACAAATGCAGTCTTCCTAACCATTCATAAGTAATGACATAGTTAATAAAGGATCAGTAATAGCGTACTAACAAATTCCATCTTCCTAACCATTCATAAATAATAATTGATAAACAAAAACCAAAAGAATATAATCTATGACCAACCATAATAATCACAACTCTACTTATCCTTCACCACCTAAATACAACCAAACCTCTTAAAACTAACCTTATATGAGCTATTAAAGAATATGCAATCAAAGACTATATTAGCCTGCTAAAAATACTAACAACCCCCTCCCCCTCAATGAAATATTTTATTTTCCTCAATAAACATCCTAATACACCAATCCATAACTTCCTAATTTTAATAAAACTCCAGCTAAAAGGATTGAACCTGACACAGGTGCTTCAACATAAAATTTTGGAAGCCATAAATGAAACAAATACAGAGGAATCTCGGTTAACGAATTTAATCCATTCTGGCACCGTGCTCGCCATGTGAAACTAATTTTCCCATTTCAGATAACGGAAATACAATTAATCAGTTCCACCCCCCCCTTCCCCCCCCAAAAAAAATCAATATGAAATTTTATAACGTAATTATAATACATGTATTATAATTTTTTTTTTCACTGTTTTCAATTGTACTTTATGAAGAGTCGTTGCTGGCTTGAGGGAGATGATGGGGAGGAGGAGGAGGAGGAGAAGGATTACGGTGTGGATGGAGAACCCACCTCCGAGTCAGGCGGGCTCTCTCGTGAATTTCAGATGGATGGATGGACTGGATGAATGGTGAGGGGGAACTGGATGGATGGATAGGGGGAGGGGGTGGAGGGAGACTGGATGGATGGTGAGGGGACTGGATGGATGGTGGGGGAATTGGAGGGATGGTTAGGAGAACTGGATGGGTAGATGAATAAGGGGGAGGATGGGGACTGGATAGATAGACTGGATGGAATGGTGGGGGGGGCTGGATGGATGGTGAGGGGACTGGATGGATGGTGGGGGGAGGACTGGATAGATGGACTGGATGGATGGTGGAGGGGACTGGAAGGATGGTGGGGGTGACTGGATAGATGGACTGGATGGATGGATAGGGAGGTGGATGGATGGACTGGATAGATGGATGGATGGTGAGGGGACTGGATAGATGGATGGATGGTGAGGGGGACTGGATGGATGGAGAGGGAAGCACTATGTGGTTTTCTCATTAACCGAGCGGAAGCTTGTCAATCGAGACAAATTTTCTGCGAGTGGCTCCCTCGTTACCTGAAATGCTCGTAGATGGGACTGCTAGTCACCCGAGGTTCCTCTGTATTTAGGTATTTTTACAACAAATGCTAACACAGTAAAAAAAGAATAATAAATAATTGTATGGTATTACTGGAATAAATTATCTTGTTTAACCAGGTACAAATCTGGATATTTAGTTATGAGACCATTATCCTTTTGTCAATGTAGACTTCAGAGGATTAAGCTCTGAAAAATTGTGACGGTACTTGTAATGACGGTATAATGATAATGATACATGTTATAGCCCTTAATATAATAAATAATTTCAGTCTAATTTCAGAACATGGCAAGGCAAAGAATCTATAAATACAATAACTAAAATTATTTTAGGTCTATAGGTATTAATAATTGCATTACTGTATGTTGCAGGGTGTGCCAAAATCTGGAGAAGGTTTTATAGATTTTATTGGCCAAGTCCACAAGACAAAAGAGCAGTTTGGCCAAGATGGTCCTATTACCGTTCATTGCAGGTGAGGCTTCTCGGGAAAGTTATTTTTCTTCCATTTTAAGATTGTGGTTTTCATGGGGGGGGGAGGGTCCTCTTTCTGTCACTTATTTGAATAAAAAGGAAATTTACATAAATGTGATTCTAATATGACTAAAGTTTTCAGGAAAAGTAAAAAACATAATACAGTAATTCCAATATAAAGTATCATTAAGTATATTTCAGGTACTGTACTACGATTTTTAAATGTATGCAACTTATTTTTGGCATTATTGGTAATTTTACTAATGATTTTGAATGTTGAAAAATTATTAACTCATTGAAAAGCTAAGCTAAAATTTTTATGCAGAGTGGGGCAGTGAAAGGTAAATTTTGATGTGGAATATTTGTACAAAATTAAATATTGCAGACAGACTCAGTGACTCAGGCAAGCTCAGAGGTAGAAATTTTAAAATAAGCCTATTGTAAATGATCTGATACAATACCTCAAATTTTTGTGCGAGATATGTCTGGCATAATTATGATAAAGTATTATAGCTTTTGAAAGTGTCAAATTTACATAAAGGAAAAAAAAAAAACTGTCATTAGAAACATTATGCTATGAACTAGATCCTAATCAAAAACAGAATCAATATGGAGGTTGTAGGATCTATCTTATTTTGAAGATAATTCCTGTCCAAACTCTGACCACCATTAATTTTGATAACATGTATCTCCCTATCTCCCACTTTAACATAAAAGTTAATGTACTTTACTATGATAGTGCGGGCGTCGGTCGCACTGGGGTATTTATCACCCTGAGTCAGGTTCTGGAGCGCATGCAGTACGAGGGCGTTGTTGACATGTTCCAGACCGTCCGCAACCTTCGTACACAACGCCCTGCCATGGTGCAGACAGAGGTAAGAAGCAGTGTACTGATAATATATGTAATTATTTAATACCTAGTAGACATATTTAATTATATACAATATGTTGTAGGACAATTAAACATTACCTTTCTAAATTACTATTAAATTACATTAGCACTAAACCTTCAGAATTTTGTAATGCTATTGCTTCTCTAATAATGAAATCCTTATATACTGTACATATACAAAAAAAAATCCTTAAATATATTTTTTCTTGTGTTATAATACAGGTTTCCATTACATTTGATATTAATCTTTATTTACTTTGATTCAAAACTAGCAAACATTTGATCCAACCTAACATAACTAAGGCAGTAATTTGTGCTCCTAATATACAGTAATAATTTCTAACTGGATAGAAATATTTGAAAAGTAACAAAAATCATTTAGCCTGTTAGGCAAACCAGACTGTGTATTCTAGGCCATTTAGGACAGTTCTGGCTATTAGGCATGATATACATTATACATGCATGTATATATACTGTATACATTTTAGTTTTTGAAAAAAAATCCTATTACAGTATGCATGATGAAGGATATATTTTTCTTCTTATTGCAAAATTAATAATGCTGATAAAATCTACAGAAGGTCAACTTAAGAAGAACCAGGAAAATGTAAAAGATGGTATTTTTTCTTTAAAATAAAATATTGACTATTGCTGATTGATTATTTTTAACTTCAGGAGGAGTACAGATTCTGTTACTTGGCTGCTCTGGAGTATCTGGACAGTTTTGATCACTTCGTGGACTGACTAATGAGGCCTGCTGGCTCCCGCCCGCTGTCCATATGGACCTGAGAGAACTGTCAGGCTAGCTCAGGTGCTGCAAGAAAGTGCTTAACATTACCACATGGTGGGGTACACTACAATAGAGTAACACTTATCTATTTGATATACAGGTGCTCTGTGAAGGTAAATCCATGTGGGATGTGTGTTTTATAATCTAGTGTGTTTGGCTCATGCTCTGAGAAAGCCTTTAGTGATACAAGGAAGTCACCAAGGCCTTCGGTTAGCACTGCATAGACCTTTAAGGAAGGCCTGCATGCAGCAAGTGCAATAAATTGATATATAAGAGTTGAAATCAAAAATATTTTGTCGAAAACTGCACCCTCCAGCAAAGTATTCTAATGCAAGCTAACATGAAGGAAGGTATAAAGTAAATGTTGCTCTATGACTGCCACATTAGCTCCTTACGGTGACACTAAATAAAACCAAGCTGCCTTCCCATAATTCTCATAAGTTACAATAAAGAGCTTTGTAACAAATTTCAACTGATCTGTAGTGGTTGAACACTCGCACGTATTAGCAACCTCACGGACATGATGCTTAAATTTGCCGTGTTAGGATTATGACCAAGAATGCAGCCATGTTTGCCTTTTTCACCTGGGGGACAGATCATATAAGTCTCCCAAGACCTCAACATTATAAAAATAGCACAAAATATGAGGGAATTGACAATAGTGTAACTGAAATTTAGTGATCTCAAAATTATGTTCATATGGTGCTATGGGTGTGTCAACACCGCACCCACAAATGTGCCAAGTACTGGGCATGGGCATCAACTTTCTTTGTAATACAAAATGTATTTCTGCTAGCTAATTAAACTCTTGAAATTGTTCATTCTTGTTCAGTGATGGAACATTGTGATTAACTGAATATGAGCCTCTCATGCAGAAACTGATAATAATGATATCTTAGAAGGAAATGTGGCCCAAATACGTGTTCTCAAACTTCCTGCAGAAGATGCATAACTGGAACATCATAAGTGCTTTCACAAACTGTAGTTTTAAGTTAAAAGATGTCTACACACAAAGTACATATAGAAATATATCCATGTATATAGGGATGATGTCCCATGACTCTTTGACCCATTACTGATCAGAGATGTGAGGAAAAAAAGTAAAATGCATATATATAGGTTTCCAATCTGCCATTCCATTCATGAATGTATTTTTGTTTATTCTTTTATGTATGAATATTTGGTTCTGCATGAGTCTTGAGAGATATCTGTACTTCGGTTATTATGGAAGTGACTTAAGGAAATGCATTTTACTGGTAATAGGACATTGAAAAAGTAATTTGTAATGCGAGTAATGTTTTCTTGCTGTGAAATTACCCTTGCCTTGTTACCATGATGTAATACGTCACATACTGGTCCAAGTTGATTATGGTATTTATGTTTAGGTAAATGTTTGTTCAATTTAATTTTAGATGGCTGTTGCACAAGTTTTTATATTCTGCAATTTTTTTTATACAAGTTTTAGTACTTTACTTTAAGCATATTACACAGAAATAATTTGACTTTCACCTTCATATTTGTGACCCTTTATAAAAAATACAATGTTCACTTGTACCAAATGTGTGTGAGAGTGAGCAGGTGGGCCAAGTTTGATACAGCAATACAAGATTAGAAGCATTTTGCAACATGGTTCAAAGCAGCCAGCCAGCCAGGTTCCTGTTTTCTTGGAAACCAATTATGTCCAGCAAATCATCAGAATCTCTTTTAGAATTGACAGCACAAAAGTCCATCATTGACTGGTAGCATGCATGATCTTTATAGTTTGAAATGTGACCAAAATAAAGCATGTTGGTGTGTGAAAGAGGTTGTGATGAATTTTTTGATATGTTGGAACATTAAGTTTTATATGACAAGATTTGATAAGTAGACTTAAAATCTAATATGACCTTATTCATACACTCCACAATGTTGACAATTTTTTTTTCATCTTGGGGAAGGGGGGGATAAAGATTTTTTGCATATTTTTATTTGCCAAACACATTGAAATAAACCTTTCTGCTGTACATTATAGTTATAAGTTTTATGTGACTTATAAATGCATATCAGCATTACTGGGTGTTGCTTTACTGAATTGTTAAAGTGCCACCATATAGTGAGGTGCATTTAGAGCAATATTAATTGATCTTTTTAATGAATTTTGTCTTGTGTTTCCTAAGCATACAAGGTATTTTTGAGGAAAATGGGAAGCTGTTTAAAGATTTCTTGAAATGATCCATCTAGTAATGGCAGAAGTGGTAGCTTGCAAGATGATAATGATTAATTTGTAAACATATCATATTTTTGCCTTGAGATACTATGGTCCCTTCTAAATAGACCAGTATCATTTTGAAGTCAGCAATACCAATGACTGCAGCGAGGTCATGAATCATATGCCGTGGGAAATCTGTACAGTATCAAAAAATTAACATGCCACAAAATTTAATTTAACTGTATACAACTTCAGCATTTTCCTCAATTTCACTTGGATGTTGTAATTCAAGTAACATGAGAAATAAATGCAATCTGTGAAAAAATACTCAAGATTATATTTTAGAGCAATTGATTGTAGGCGTTATGTACAGATTCCTCCAACAAATGATTGTTAAAACTCTAAAAATCCATTGTGTATAATATTTTTTATTCTTAATTCTAGACCCCTAAAAACTGAAGAGGCTATCTGATGGCATTTTTGGGATGACCAATGATAAACAGATTATTGTGTACTGGCCACCCTGTTTCCGTTTAAATTTTTTTTATATATATATAATTTTTGCTTCATTTAGAATCACTACCACCTCAGATCAACTGCCATTAAGCTATGGGGATATGCGGCAATAGACTCGGCTAACCACTTTGCTCTCTCCCGTCATGCACAGCTGCCTGGAGCATGCTTCTGCTTCTCATGCCATCCATTTGCACTCTTGACTATCATTTAAAGCCCCCCTCATTAATTAATTAAAAAAAAAATTGAGACCTTCAAACCAAAATACAGAAAACCATTTTTTTTTAAAAGTTCCTAAACCTTTAATGGTTTGTGATAGCAAGGTTTAGTCATGGACCACGACCAACATGTTCTTTGTGACTTGGCCAAGGTGTAATGATAGCTTGACTGCACATTTTCATAATGGGAGGTATGAGAGGCAGAACTTTCTATCAAAATTCTTCTACCCATGCCATTAACTTGTTTTGTTTTTACCTAGCTAGCAATATTTTGTAATTCACACATGTGATGTAACATATTGTAAGAATAAAATGGAAACAAAGAATAATTAATTTTATGGTCCCTGATAAATATACAAGAAAAATCAACCACAGTTTATTCAGACATTTATGAGTCACAAAAATTAATTAATTCTGACAGGAAAAAAATTAATAAGTTTTCTTAGAATACAGCTCACTTCAGATTAATTTCCACATATTATTTTGGAGGCTGGGATTCAATTGATAGTAGCATTTCGATTCTACACATCTTTCTTTTCATAAGCACACACCTTGTCAAGTCAATGAAGGTTGTTAATACCTATTGGTTGTACAACTTAGTGACACATTTCAACTTTTCTACATAGTGTAAATATCAAATCTAGGAAAATGTTAAAATGGGGTAACTATCACTCCATGGTGAAGTCTCTGTCTGCTCTCTTACCTCCCTGCAGAGGGTTCCAAGAGTTCTACTCCCTGAGGCCAGGCTCCACCTGTGATAACTTGGTCCAACAAGTTGTTGCTTGGAGCAGCCACATATCCACTACAACAAGGTTGGTCCGGCACTTGTTACAAGAACTTCTCTAATTGCTTTTCAAAGAAATCACCTTTGTTCTGGCAATATTTCTTAATGCTTGCTGGGAGAGTATTGGACAACTGTAGACCTCTGATTTTCATACAATGCTCTCTGATAGCACCTCTCCTCACTGATACTACTCTGCATTTCCTTTTGTATCTTTTGCTCCAGCATGTTGTTATTCTACTGCAAATTTGGGACTTTGCCCTCCAGTATCTTCCATGTATATATATATTATTTGGTACCTCTCTTGTCTCCTTTTCAGAGTACATTTTGAGAGCTTTCAGAAAATCCCAATAATTTAGACACTGTATTGTGTCTGTGTGCTGATTATGTTCTCTGTAGTCCCTCTATTTAAAAAATCTCTCCTGATTTGAAAGGGGAAATGCGTACCGAACAGTACACAAGATGGTACAGCACTAGTGATTTAAATAATATTAATATTGTGTAGGCATCTCTGGATTTGAAGGTTCTCATAATCCATCCTATCATTTTCCTGACTATATTTGCTGGTTACGTTCACTAAATGTCAAGTTGCTAGACATGACAATTCCCAGATCTTTTACATGTTTTCCTTCTATGGGTATGTCTGATTCTATCTTGTACTTCATTTAATTTATACCATACCTAAGTACCTGGAACTTATCACTTAAACATTATGTTATTTTCTATTGCTCTGTCAAAGACTAATAATATCAGCTCATAGTTTTTTAGTGTCTTTTACATTGGTAATTTTCATGTTGATTTTGTATCACCTGCAAAGTATGACAAACCTATGACTGGTATTTTTGTCAATACTGTATCTGATATGAAAACGAGAAAGAGCAGTGGTGCATGGACTGTGCCCTGGGTTACAGAGCTTTTCATTGCACTTAGGCTTGATTTTATTTCATTGACTATTATTCTTTGTATTTTGTTGACAGAAAATTTACAATCCAACACCCCTTTGCCCCCCCTCCCCACCCACTTTGCCTATTGATCTTATCTTATGGGCTATTACTCCATGGTCACACTTATCACTTATAAGTGTGATAAGTAACCCTTATCACTTATACAAACTTTGCCTTTGCAAAGTCTGCATGCAACATCTGCATTTTGTTTTTCTTCTAATGCCTCCATGCTTTTGTCGTAGTGGTTATGTCATTGTGAAGGGCAGGATCTTCCTGCTCGTAATCCATGTTGGCCTGGGTTGTGGAATTCAATGTTTTCCACAAAACTGGAGATTTGATTCTTAATCATTCTTTCAAAAACTTTTATGTGGGATGTTAGTGCAACTGGTCTATAATTTATTGAAAAAACCAATATGTACTTCCCTTGTATAGCGGAGCTATATCTGCTGATTCAAGTACAGTATTTCTGGAATCTCTCCTGTTCAAAGCTTTGTCTCCATATTACACTAAGTGCTCATGCAACCGGCACTTTACAGTTCTTTATGAATATTGAATTCAAGGAGTCAGGTCCTTGGGCTGAGTGCATGGCCATGTTCTCAATTTCTCTTTCAAAATCTGCAACGTTCGTGTTGAATAACCACCACCTTTTTCTTATCAATGAACTGATTAATTGGAAATATCCATTACCTACTTCAGTTATGACCTTTTAGTGGTATTTCTGTCCTCATCTGAAAATAAAATTATACAAAGGCATCCAGCTGCAACAAAATTCAAGAAAAGTGGGGAGCGGGGGACACAAAGTCAGCAGCTTCCCTGTTGAAGAAAGATAGATAGACGGTGGCCCCCAGGTAACTAACTGCATGAAACAGGCCCACTACTCCATGCATTTAAAATCAACAAACCCTCCCACAACCTATCCTCAAACTTCATACAAATTAAATGCTTTCTTGGAGACGGGTCTGTGAAACATATTCAACGGTAAGCAAACTCGACTAAAACTTCAATAACCATACCTTTCAGCTTGGCTTCAGAGATTCAGCAAAATACAACTCTTTCCACACACCTAAACATAAAATATTTGGAAAAGTATGCATACAGGGAAGCCTAAAACATATACAGTACTTCAATTACATATGCCAATTACATACATACTGACTTCAATTACATATCATAAGCAATTTAGAAAATTGGGGGTTTTCAAGTTTTAATAAAGATATATAGTGAAAATTTTAAAATTGTGGAGGGGGAAGGGGCACAGAATATGTGTCCCCCACCCTGTGTCCTACTGGGGAAGGGGGGGGGGGGGGGGTTGCAGGAAACAGTAGGTGGGAGGAGAGAGGAAAATAAAGCTATTAAGTCCACCATAAGAGCCTGCTGCATCCCTCATCTGGGTACACTTATGGCCAAACAGGGTTTCTTAACCTGGGGTGCTGAAATATATTTATTGGGCGGTGGAAATAGATTTTCCACTGCCGCCTTGCAATGCATGAGCTGCATGTATAACTGCCTCACCACAGATGCGGTCCATAGAATTACCCAAATCAGCCCAAATCGGCCCAAAACTACACAAATCGTCCTAGCATTACGTAAGTAATGAGGAAATATGGTATATTTACTTACTATAATGTTGGTGCTACACGTAGAACATGATCAAACCTATTTTTACTCTGAAATAATCTAATTTCATAACGAAATGAGACGTAAATATGAGAGAGGTGACGCCATAGGAAGTCGACGGTCCAAGCGACAATTGTGTGGAGCGACTTATCCAAGATATATGGTCGCCTGGAGAGTGTTTGCTGCCATATCAGCCTCCTGCACACAGTGATCCAGTCCTTTTCGTTCATTGAACACCGAACCCTACACGCCCTCTGATATATTGCTTAATTAACAAATATTCACAAATAAAGATTATATTTGTATATGTTATCAGAAAGGCAGATATAAAATAGTTTTTGTGAATCCATCACAGAGATTATACCTTATTAGAGAGGAAAAATATTCATACTTTAAACAAGGCTTCATGGCCGGTCCGTCTAATTACCACAAGCTACCACAAGCTACACAAGCTTCACAAAGCTTCCTGGCAATACGTTAGTAATGCATATATATGATATATTTACTCATTATAATGTTGGTACTGAATGTACAACACGAAAAAACATAATTTTAATCTGAAAAAGTATCTTTTTATAAAGAAATTAGACGAAAATATAGAGCTGGTGACGCCAAATCAAGTCGACGATACAAACGTCGGTTAGGTTAGGTTAGGTTAGGTTTGGTTTGGTTTGGTTAAGTTAGGTTAGGTTAGATTAGGTAGGGTTAGGTTAGTTTAGGTTAGGTTAGGTCAGCCTAACCTATCATATTTATTCATTACTAACGTATTGCCAGGAAGCTTTGTGAAGCTTGTGGTAGCTTGTGGTAATTAGACGGACCCTTCATGGCCGACGCTCTCCTTACCGATATTCGAACCCCAGTTGGAAACAGACCCAACTATAGGATGGGTTAACCCAAGTATCGCGCTTCCAAAAGGGTCGCCCAAGTTGGAAAAGACGAACGCTGAAAGAATATTGTTGAAAACATCTTGATAACTGATTAAACCAAAATTATTTATTAGTCAGAAGAAAGACAGAAACGCGATCTATATGTAAAACCTCTACCAGACAAATATTTTAAGTAAAACCGAAGATATTTGTAGTTGTATAAAAGTGGCAGTTTTCATCGCTCGTCAAACTCGAAAACCGCAGCATTCCCAAGAATGCCCAAACGAAAGTTTTCTATGTCAACAGATAGGCAGAAATATAAGCTACACTTTAAATACTTGTCACAAATATAACTGAAGTGAAAGCGAAGATATATGCATTTGATACTGTACAGTTTCTTGATGGCTTGCTCTAAGAGTGTGAAGCCCTTCACACCAGCCTATAAATTGTGTAATTTATTTCCATATATGCTAATTAACCTTAAAATCTATATGTCAGAAGGAAGGAAGATGTAGACGTTAATGTGACAACATTTCAAGAAATATCTCTCTCTTTAAAGTTAAATAATACAATCCTATCGCCGGTGTCCGGACACATGAAAGCTACTTAGGTATCAGTGGCCAGCCAGGTGGAGATCACAGGCTGTACAATACTGATAAATTATGTAATTCACAGAGATACGTTGATAAATATCAATGTTTTATATTTTATTAAAAATACAGATATATACTTTGTTTCATACGTTAAATGTAACACTATTTCAGTATATATTATATAAGCATAGTATATATAATTCAGTATATACAATATATAATAAGAGTGTCAGACCACGGTGGAAGAATTGAAACAGGAATTTCCTTTAGTACTTTCTTATATTAATACATGTTCAGAGCGAACCATTCCTTCTGAAGATGTATTAATATACGAAAGTACTTAGAGCATTCTATTGTGGTTTTAATATTGAACAATTATACATATAAGAAACAGACAAATCTGGTGTCCGAAATAGTAAAAATATTAGTGTGCGATGTGATCAATGTAAGGGGGATATTGGGTGTGCCTCGTATCCCCTACAACAACAAGAAGTTCGAGAGCGATGAGGCCGCCACCTACTAGCT